GTCTCTATGTGTACATGTCATAGAGAAATATTATTAAAATAGGATAATTAAGCAATAATATTGTAATTTGTCACACTGGGTAATAGCTAAAAGCCCACTATGGTAAATTACGACGTCAATTTACACTACAGTCTGTCCGTTGGCAGCATGCGTATATTACGCGATGAGCCCGCGGTGGCTGATGGAGTTCGGCCCATATATATACATCAAGTTTCCATGTATGCCTATTGACGTAGAATCTACTAATGTATGTCCAGAAGACAAATTGAATTCCAAGAAAATTAAAATAATCTAAACTAATAATAATAACCCTTACCTACGCCACCGTCTCGTCAACAACCCCTAGTATTTTGTGTTTTGAATTTTCTTCAGGTACCACTTTTATGTAAAGTTTACGGTAAGAGTGCAGTTTTCCCCGAAGAGTGCGCATTACGTTATTTTATCCCTAAGTTTGATAATGTCGATGACTGACGAACCATTCCTTAGTTTCCACTTTTGCTGCCTTATCGTGTCCTTCGAGTTCTCTGCGTACTATTTATATGACCTCCTTTAGTACGATGCCGGAAACGGAATCATTCAAACATGATGAGGTACATTGCATATCTGTGTCTTGAGCACCTATCTTAGATTATTTTGGAACCGTTTCATTACCTGCTCGCTAACAACGGAAAAGGTCTAAGAAAACAACTTATCAAGGCTTTCGATTTTTGGATGCATATACCAGCCGAAAAACTCGAAGTTGTCGGTGAAGTAATTGAGATGCTCCACAACGCCAGCTTAGTGTAAGTTTAGTTTTCTTGTGCACCGCTGAGCGAGTGTCAAGTTCTCAAATTTTTTTGACCCAGCTTATCCTCCTCCTTTTTAAAGCATCGATGACATCGAAGATGGTTCAAGTCGCAGAAGAGGCAAACCATCTGCTCATATGCTTTTCGGTATACCCCTGTCAATCAATGCCGCTAACTATGCTTACTTTCTTGCACTTGAGAAAGTCCTTGCGCTTGGTCACCCGGACATACCTCGTATTTTCACAGGTTTGTGCTTGTTACTCTTTTGATTCTGCGAGTCTACGTCCTTCGTTCCGTAGGTCATTTTGTCCTGCATTAGCCTTGTTGATCCGTGGAATCAGAAGTACCAGTGAATGGGGCATGTTTTGCTTTTAGTTTTTTTAATTTATTTGGCAAACATACGTCTTCAGCAATTCAGTATCAGGCCTGTTCTGTTGCACTGATAAGGAAGATAGGAGAGTTGGAGACAGCTTTTATAAAGGCTTTATGATTAAGACTCCATCTCTTCATATTGCTCGCATGGCATGATCGGTATGTAGAGGTCATTGGACTGGGAGAGGGGGGTATAGGGTATACCGTGAGTATTGGTCATGGGTCGAGTATGCGGAGCAAAAATCCCTGTCAAATGCACGGCATGAACGACTATCATCAGAAGGCGAGGGCGACATGTGATTGTCACCTGGCTTTGGTTTTCGGCCGCGGAAGAGAGAGAGCCTATATTAGTGTCTTCTGACAACAACACCGGATTTTCTGGCCGTATAGTCACTGCATCGGCTGTTGCTAGCATACATTAGTGTAGGCCTCTAGAGAAGTTGGCTGATTTCCAGTAGAAAATATGAAAGGCGTCGTTAGGATCGACAACGTGGTTCGTATCGACAAGGTTTGCGTGAATAGAACTCAAAATTGATTTAGTTTCACCTTTACTTAACGAGGCCGGTATGCGTTCATGCATCCTCGTTTCTAGGCATCTCGTTGTTCGGCCAATTTATCCTGCTCCACAGGAGCAGGCGAAATAGCAAATGCGCATCGATGTGGCCGTCAACGGAATTCGGTCTTTACCTCCCATGCGTATAAGGGCTAATTTCGTGAAGAATAGGCATACGTTCGCCGCGGAAAAATCGCTCGTGATCGCTGTCTTCGAACGTCGTCTTACCAACTTGCCCGTTGCATCGCCTAAGAAAGGCAGTCTTATGAATACGTCTTTCCCTTCTGAAGTTAAGGTAGCAGGCTTTTTGGTGCTTTTCCCGATATTCCTGAGGATTAAACCTTTTTGAGTACCCGTTTTCGATAAGCTTGTTATGCGGCTGCTAATGTTCTGCTTCGGTAGTTTCAGGAGAGTATATCCGTCGCTGTCTAGGTGCCAATCCCTGGACTAAATTTAGTTTTATATTTAAAGGAATAAACTTTGAAAGTTGATGTACTGACCCGTCCTAGTTTTCTTTCAGAATACCCTACGCTAGATAGATCCGTTCTTTTGTCTTCGTAGGACACTATTTCAATGTCTACCTCAGACTCTGTAGACAACTTAAGCGATAGATGCGCACTGTATATGACCGATGATGAATTGCCGAAAACATACGTTTGCCAAATAGAGTTGTAAAGTTAAACATGGGATGATTTGCAGACTATTCACTTTTTGTTTGATGAACTTCAAACGAATTTTCTCGACTAGAAAACGCTGACTGTTCTGCTTTACCGACTGCCCTGCAGTATCAGGCCAGATGATAGTTTTTATATTGTTATTTACCCCGTCTGGTCCCCTGCGACCCCGGGTGTTGTTTTGTCACCTTTTTTTCTCGTTCACAGCAGGTTTTTTCCTTTTGTTTCCGCCGGATATGACCATATTACAGAGCGGAACAGAGCAACCATTATTTAAATATGGATAGAAAACTGGGACGAATGTTGCTCGTTGTATCCGAGAGAGTATCTACCGCAAAGCCTGTAGCTCTGTCATGTCATTTGCTGAGCATTCTCGATCGCAAATGATGAATCCTGAGTCTGGGACCATTTATTTCGTTGCACCTGAGTGTTCCTAGACCAGAGGTTTAACATGTCGATGGTGTGGTGTTAGGCAATGTGAAAGAGCCCCTTTTAGTCTTTGTTCATCTGTCGCTAATGCTTACGCTGCTTGTTTCGCTGTTTTCACCCTCATAACCTTCATTTGTTTTTAACCACCAATAGAGCAAATGTTGGATCTCCACCGAGGCCAAGGACTGGACATTTACTGGCGGTGCTCGTGCAGTTGTCCGACTGAACAGGCTTACGACGACATGGTGATTAAAAGTAATTCCCTCTGCAATGTAGTTGTTGATGATTCTACTCCAATTAGTTGATAGCGATGGTGTTGCTGCTGCTACTGTGTCTGCACCTGTTTCGCTCGCTGAAACTTTTATGATGCGGCTTGCCCGATTGGCAACCCTGTTCTTATTCCTGTACCCCTAATGCTTACGGTCAATACCAAATTTTCCCGACAAAACC